TGGACAGTGCTAGAGCTAAAAAAGATGCACAACAACTATTTGATGTAAGTTGAGCTTATAGTGATTCCAACTTAAGTTGGCTTAGGCTTCATCAACCTGTGCTCTAGCTGTAATCAGTTTTTTTCAATAAATCAAGATATGACTCCATGACTGTATATCTTGTGTGCTATCTTACATATTGTTTGCTCTAATTATCTATTGTTTTGTTTTTTTTGTAATGCACAATTGTAGAACAAATTTCCTCAGGGATAATAAATATTTGTATTATTATTATAGTTGTTTAAAGCATTGAACCCTTATATGTCACTTATGTGAGCTAAAAAAAGTAACTAACTATTTGATCTCTGAACCAAAACTCTCATTATTGGTAAATAATTGGGTTATTTTAAGATGTTCTTAAGTCCACCACTTTAATGGGACCTTGATATTAGTTTTGGTTGCTAAATGTTGTGATGGCTTTGTTAGACCTTCTTTGACAGAAACACATGCACTTTAATTCATTCATTCTCTCCCTCCCCCCCCCCCCCCCCCTTAAAATAAAACCCCATAGATCTGACTATATATATATATATATATATATATATATATATATATATATATATATATGCATGTTAGAATTATTTGCTGATGTCCTAGCTTGTCTTACATACAGATTAAAAGGAATAACTATTGTTGAACTGAACCATCAATGGTGACTGAATAATGTCTAACACTTAATTTTTGGACTCTATTTTTACATAGGCTGGTGAGGCACGTTGGGGCACTGATGAAGCTGAGCTCAATGCTATTCTGTGTCTACGAAGCCATTCCCAGCTGAGAGAAACCTTCAAAGAGTTTGCGAAAATTGCTGGTAAAAGCTTTGAGGACTCAATTAAATCTGAATGCAGTGGCAGCCTACAAGAAGGCTACTTAGCCATTGGTAATAGATTTTTACTAAGGATATAAAACATTAATTGTGTATTCTTTTTTTGTTGTTGTGGTTATTTTTATTATTGCTTTAATAATGTGCAACATTCATGCTAATAGCATACTCCAATGGTCCAATCCCTTTTGTGGAGAGAGGGGCTATCTGAGAGAAGGTTTCTCTGCTGCCTTTAGGCAATCAGCAAACACAATTCTGCTCTAGTCAGAATTCTAACTTCATATTCCCTTCATATGTATTTAAATGATTTGTGCCTCGCAGCTACATCCCATGATAATTTTTTGTTCTTGTCATTTATTGATTCTGAGGTTTTAACTGTGGATAAGCATTATTATATTAATACGGTTTTTTTTAACGCTAAGGGAGACAATTCATGAAATTGAAATATATACATTTTTTTTTTTAAGAAAGCTTTTACATTTTTTATTATAAAGCTTATATCATCTCACTCTGTCTGATTTAATGTTTGCACACATTTTTTATCCCACACCCAATATCGGTCAAGCTAAATTTTACACAATTCTTTCTTGTACCAGACAAAACAAGAATGAGTATAAAAAAAATAACCAGTTAGTTAATTAACTATTAGTAATTAATTATTTTGTTTCGTATTGAAGAAGGGGAAAGAAATCATACTTGACATGCTGTATTATACATTCCCATAAGAAGGCTTGAGCCCTGAGTGAACACATTGAGAAAGCATGAAATTGCGCTAAACAAAAACAATTTGTAGAAATATTTCTAATTGCACAGATTTATTAGTCTAGATCTTATTAAAAATTTAATTACATTTCTAATCCAAACTAATTGATACAATTACACTGAATATAAGCAAGGTTTTTTTTTTAAAACTATTTTCTATGCTTTTTTCAAAAATGATTTCAGTTGACAGCGCAATGAACACACCAGCCTATTTTGCCAGAAGACTCAATGAATGTTTTAAGGGTCTAGGAACTAATGACAGGGATCTCATTAGAATAATTGTTAACAGATGTGAGGTAATTGACAACTTTAAACCCTCTCATACCAATCAATCAATGTTAAGTTTTATGTTCCGATAAGAAGAATTAACCAATGAAAGACTTTATTGGAAAAATGTATTTTGAGACAAGATGATTGGTGGTAGAAGCCACAGATGACACCAACCCTAGCAACTCCTTCTTCTTTATCTTCTTATCTTATATATAACAGATGTTACTTCACTAAAGAAGATAATTATGTCTTAAGCATTACATGTGTCTATCTAGTCATGCATGTTAATCAATGACTTAAACTCTGCTCAGTCGTTGGCTTTTCTGGATGATTCAGGCAACCCACTCCATTCTCTAATGGCACTAGGGAAAAATAAAAATTCTAACCTTGGAAATATCAAACTACAATGTTGTTACACTATATCAACATAGACTGTAGGCCACTAGAATCAAGGAGTTATAATAATAATAATAATCTTTATTGTCCATAAGGAAATCTGTCTTACAATTTGTGCATTATACCAAACAAAACATTATAACTATAAAAAAAAAATGTACATTCACACCTGACTAGTTCATAATTTACATGTGACAACGTTTACATCAGATTGTTTCTATTTAATGATTTGATTGCCAGCGGAACAAAGTTTTTGTGTCTGTCTTTGCTATCAGTGTCTTATACCTCTTTTGGGATAGTAGAATCACACAATCCTGACCCTTTGGGTGATTTTTTATTTCTAGAATCTTTTTAGCTTTTTTTATGGATGTTTGTCTCAAACAGCTGCCCAAATGTTGTTTTTTTTGTTTGTTTTGCCAATGACTTTACCAGCAGCATTTAGGATTCTATGAAGTTAACTTTTAATTAAATTAGCTTTTTAATGTTCAGATTGCCATACCAGGCAGTGATATTAAAGCTTAAAATATTGCAGATGTGAGCATGATAAAACATAGCCAAGGCCTTGTTGACTTGTTGAAGATAGAGATGAAGGCAAAGGCTATGTGACTAGATGCTTTAATCTTGCTACATGACTTGTCCTGTTTACTTTCACTCTCACCTTTTTTTTTTCTGGATTTCTGTTCACCATGAACACCTGGTGTAGTAGACTCATTGAGCTACTTGATTGACTGGTCTTCTTACCAAATGTCTGAACCAATTTGTGTAGTACCAGTGCTATAAATTTGTTTCATAATGGCATATGTCTCTAATAGCCTCTGACAAACAGTCCAACTCCTGGCCTTCATGTTTGGCTCAGATATTGAGTCTGGCGTAACTGTTTTCACTGACAAGATAAGGGGCAAAGGCAAGTAACTGGCAACTTAACCAGTAAGCTTCAGGGAGCAGGGGAACTTTAGTCATGCCTGGCTACCCACCTAGTAGAAGGAAAACTCCAAATTCAAATCTCTTGTACCTTGCAGTTATACCCAAACATGTGAATGGCTTCGGGAGTCAACCCTGTGGGAAAATCTGGAGCTGGCAAACCCATTGGCAGTTTGCAGCACACACCCTGGTAGAATCTGCAAGTCCCCTGATCCTAAACTCTAACAGCATTTGATGTTCCTTCGGATAGATCAGATGTGTGGAGAGGGGGAACTGCTGTGTGGACAACAGCATTCTGACCTTAGCTAATGCCCAGACATTTATTTAATTTCTATGAGATGATCCATGACTGTAAAGGAGGCCATATATTTATGAATTTTTAAAGTGATACAATATGACTAAGCCAGAACAGTATTTCACAGCTAGAAAACTCATGTATGACCTACATGTTTTAGCACATCTGAGACATATATCACTACACACATGTATTCCAATGATATGCAACTTGTCAGTTTTTGTTTTTTTTAGAAATGAGGATTAAGAAAATAAAACTCCTAGTAACAGGTCAACAAACTGTAAACAAGTTCAAACTAAAGTCTTGTTTTAACTTTTTTTTAACAAACTGTTGTCAGAAGTTGCAATGTGAAAATGAAGTGTAAATATTTCCTTTGAAAAAGTTTTAGATGACAAGGTTTTGTAATCTTTATTTTGCTCACTTTTTTCCAGATTGATATGGAGGAAATAGAAAGAGCCTATAAAGCTGTGTATGGTGTCAGTCTGATTGAAGCCATAGAAAGTGAGTGTGGAGGAGACTACAAGAGGATGCTCATTGCACTTGTCAAGATGCAAGACTGAGCAGCATCACATGACAATCTTCTCACTAAACCAGCTTGTCTGAACTTGACATTGGATTATTTGTTGTTGTTTTTTTTAAACAAGTATTTCAAGCTCAGCGTTCTGTTTTATTTTTGTTTTTTATATTCCAATTTTGTTTATTATTTTGCATTTAATTTTTTTAATTCACTAAGTATAATTTTCCAATAGAATCATGTCTACTTTTATTGGTACACATAATTCTATAAGGATTTTGTTTCTTTATAACAACAAAACAATTTTAGATTGTATATACCATGTACTTTTTTTTTTATTTTTGTAGTACAAGTTTGGAACCTGATGTAGTCCTGTATTATATTTTCCTTTGTTAAAGAATAATCTTTACATTCAAAAGCGAACACTGGTATTGTGACTGGAATGTAAACAATAACAATTATTTAATATTTGATACTTTCTATGAACTGTTTAGTTTGATCTTTCAAGACTTTCAGTGCTATTTCATACATTTTCTTTTCTTCATTGTTCTCATAAGTTCCGTTGGCGGGTTTAGATAACTAATTGCATATGTCCAGGGGGAATGTATCTGGATCAGGACATAAATATTATACTTGGAGTAATTAAATTTATGAATTACATCTAAATGTTTATAATTATCTACAAACTTTCCACTTCAGCAGTGCCCTAAAAAAAAAAAAGTTTTGCAGTCACTCTTAGAAATCATACAAAGAATTGTATTCCAAATAACATTTCACTATTGTTCTAAAATTAGGTTCAAGGGCTGCTTTTGGTTTTCTGAACGCCAACCCTTTTGTTTTTAAATCAAACATACGGTTTTAAATTTAATACACAAATTGATTTTTTTTCCACACATGAGTTTTGTAAAGATTAAACTATCTTGCTTTGTTCTTACTACTCAACTACTGTACAGTGATCAAAAGGTTGTAATAAAAAGGGAAATAAACTATTTTTTCTTGTGTAACATATGGTTTTGTCTAAAGAATGTAATTAAAATATTTTTAATTATGGGATCATAGGTGCAACAGCCACTTATGGCTATCCATAAGTAAGTAGTATTGTCTGTTATGTCTTAATAGCTCTCTAGCACCATTCAGGACATACATCGAATGCAGAGCATGTATTGACCTCCATCAAAACAGGTTGTAACTTGGGGGGTATATAAGGGTATTGCCCTAGTACAAAGCTAAATATAGGAACAATTTTACCCTTAAACTGCTTCAGATTATTGGCCATTGCATGTGATTAACATGTATACCTGTGTAATGAGATTTTCTTGGATATTTACTCTAACCTGGTTCTGAAATGGGCATAGGTTTTTGGCTGTTTTAAACTGTAAGGGGGATGGCATTTATAATAAATCTATAAGTTAGGTAAGCTTTTTTTTTTCACAAACTATAGAAAATAACTAATTAAAAGAGAAGATGGGGGTTGGGGTGTAGTTGGACGTAATTGCAGTAGGTATTCCAAACATTCACAATGAAAGACACGAGACATCATTTAAACAAAAAACAGGGAAGCCATACAATCATATTTGAGTTTTGTTATTTCTAAAGATGTGCACATTGTGAAAAATGAAAGTAGCTGAAAATGAAATGATGTATATACAGTATGCTACAGTGTTAGCCCCAGGACTTCAGCAGCCAGCAGACCAACAACTAGGCATGACATTGAATAAAAACCATTCATAAAGCCAATTCAAAGTTTGTAACATCAACATGGCTTAACAGAACATCAGCTAACATTATATCTAGGTTTTTTTTTTAAATGATTGGGAAAAAAAAAAGGGGGGGGGGATTGAGGGGCACAATCATTTTGGAATAAAAATGAAATGCAATGGATGAAATGAATTCAACTAAAATGTTTCTGAACATGTACAGGAGAAACCAGAAGAATACAAATAATCTGGAAACAATTTAAATAACAGCGGTAAGAGAAACAATAATGATGATGAGTTGGCTCTGTGAGGATAAAAAAAAAGGTCTGAATAAACCTTGTCTCAACGTTGAAACTAATAATTGTGTACTATTGAAATTTAATAGGTAGACCAAAGTCAAGCAATAGCCATCATTGAATGCACTTTTTGTTTGTTTGACAATCTTTTTCTCATTGCATAGAACATCTACACAAATTACCACCCTCAAAAATTTTTTGTTAACAATAAACTAACCCTTTAAAGAAAAAATACCAGAACTACCATTTAAAAAAAAAAAGAGACATATGTATTAATCTGACAACCAGGCACTTCATGTACACATTACATAATCAACTAACTATAGACATATATGTATTGAATTCTGTATGTATATAATTCTATGTATATATATATATATACACACAAAACTATGCACCCAGTTGACTCACTGACAGCTGGAAAGGTCGCATTTTCAATAGAAGGGAGAATGAAACAAAATCTATTTACAATCAAGACACCCCCAAGTAGGTCAATATAAGCCTAAAACATCTGGAACTCTTACAGACTCACACTAAATACACACACACTCACACACAACAAATCTAGTCAACAATTTCATTTCATTATGCTAAATACACAATTTGGCAAATAAAAGTTTTTTGTTTTTTTTTGTTGTTGTTTTTTTTTTAAAACAAAAGTGAAGGGAAGATGAACTATCACAAATCACATGACATTAGAGAAAAACAAAACTGTTTCTATTTTCATCCATGTCATAAATGTGTATACAATAAACATTTGAATGCACAAATGTAGAGTATATATATATATGTATATATATATATATATATATATATATATATATATTTATATATATATATATATATATATATATTTATATATATATATATATATATATATATATTTATATATATATATATATATATTATAAAAACCAAACCTGTTAAATAAATGTTACTATGTACGTAAATAATGAACAATTATGTACACCAATTGTATGAAAATAGAAATTTCTTGTATGTGCACTTAAATAAACAAAACAAACAAAACCAAAAAAAAACATAGATTTAAAAAAAAACTGTCCAACAGCTATAATATAACAATTAGCAGTTCCAATTAAGATGGCTGTGTTGATCCTAGAAGCTATTTTAGTATGCCACTACCAAATTTGGAGTGACTTTCCATCTTGTTAAGTAATGAAATATACAGACTGTCAGGAAAATACATATTTCTCCCACTAGTAAACAAGAACTGCTACCTCATTATCAAGCTCACTGGATTAATTACCAATGTGAGTCTACATCTTTTTAGAAAGATAACTTCATTTACAAGTCCACCTCTAGGTAACTAAATCTCTCAGAAAATGACTATTCACTGCCAGCGATAGAGAAAGGGAAACACTCCATACAGAGTATGTACAGAATAATCCCTTTTAAAAAAAACTGTTAACACTTCTGCAGTAGATTCAAATGTATGTATTATCTTACATATACATATAATATAGAAATGGATATAATAGTTCATACTCTGTATGTATGTATGTTATTGAATACTAACATCACAGAAATCAGTCCATGAAGCACCAACATATGACTGTACACTGGTGACCCACACAGCATAACATGCCAGTCATTTCAAACATATCAGCACAGAAAAAGCGGAGAACAAAAATTTTCCTTCAAAGCCAACATATGAGAGTCACAGAGGTAAAAGGTGGGCTCATTAGGCTTACAAACTTTTCTGTGAAATGTACAGCAAGGATCATTGTTTATGTAATCACTAAACGCACACACAAAAAGTCATTAAGAAGAAACAAATTTCCATTAAAACCCTGAAAAGTTTAAATTAAAACTTATTTTTTTAATCCAATAATATTTCCATTGTTTACTTTTTCATGTGGGGATGTATCTTATAAAATTAAAATTTAGAACCCACTGAGTCTACTCAATTATTGTGAGATTAGATAGCTTAATGCACATGTTTTAACTGGTTTGAGAAATGGAGCCTTTCTTGACTGTGCCCAAGGTGCTTATTGCTTCAGAATATAGAAAATATCCTACAACTTGGTGTTGTCATGTAGTTCAGTGATGGCTCTTAAGTCATTGTGCTATCTGTGCTGTTGAACTTTGCGCCGTTTGTTTGCACTTTGATCTTGTGGATTATCTACAAAAAAGAATAGAAATGGATTATCTAGAACGAGTAGAGAATTGATCATGAGTCAAATTATTTTTTTAATGTTATGTAAGTTATCATCTTATACTTAACACATAATTATGCCATATATGATGGAATCATGCAAAACGTCACACTGCACAGTCAATGTTTTCATCAATGCATTATTAAGTTCTCTAACATATGTCTGGAAATAATTTGAAGACAAAGGCTTTTTTTTAAAAATAAGTATAGAAAAGATCAACAAAGCATCATAACTCATTCTGTCTTCACAAAATCAATGTCAGGTAACGTGAATGCCAAAGTCAACTACTAAGTCATAAAAAATATGCAGATGATTACCTTTTGCTCTAACTGAGCGTGTGGGACGTTTAGCACTACCCCCTTCTAGGCCAACATCACCTTTACCCGATGGTGCTAGCTGAGTGGACTCGAGGTGATTGGAGTCATTAGTAGTAGTGCCATCTTGTGACCCAGGTTCAGCATTCTGTTCAGCTGGTTTATTTTTACTTCGGGTGCGTCCACTCAAAATAGGGGTGTCAAAATAGGCTGAAGAAATAATGAGCACTACCAATTTAATGTATTCCAAAATTAAGTCGAAGGTCTGTTTTTCAGTACAAGATTAAGAAAAAAAAATGTTAAATAAGAAATGACAGTGCTAGTGAGGTCTAAGTGATAGAACCCTTGACTAACAATCTGCTAATGGGATTCTGGTGGACATAACTCAGATAATGATAATGTTCATGGGCCGCCCAAATATAACCAGTAATTTTTATCTGCTAGGTAAAGTAAAGCCTATTAGTTGTACAAAGTGCAATGTCTTTAAAAATGATTCACACCGTATGGCTAATTTGAACTTCTTGTGTGTTAATATGGTTGCCCAACAAATTAGCACTGACAAAATAGCGCAGACTGTATGTATGATATATAATATGTATATTACATATGTGTGCTATAATTTAGTAAAGAGGTCAAGATCTAAAATATAGATAATCCTTTGGCAGCTATCTTTGATCAATCTAGGCATCTCATTGCCACAACATTGGCAAACTTAGTGGTGAAGGTATCAGACAAGCTGGCTGGTAATCACATTCCTTGTCTTGACAATAGGTTTGTATAGTCAATCTCAGGCTGCAAAGGACCAACCAAGTCAAGTGTATGGAAGAGTCTGCCATGAAAAAACTATGTATTAGCAGCTGTCTATCAATATGACCACCCTAATACAAGCTGACCAACCACTTCCTCAGAGTACAGGAGTATCAGTACAGAGAGGACAACATTGTTTGATACAATGCTAAAGAATGACGCAATGCTGCAAGCAAGACAAAAAAGTAAGACCAACTTAACAGAAGTCTGGCATAATGAGGATTCTACAGGGCACTGCAGCGCATATGTTGTCTCTAAATCCAGCTACAAGTATAAGTATGCTTACATGTTTTTATTGCATTTTACTTATAGGAATAGGAATAAATTTTAATCTATTGTGTTTGCCTATTTATATTTTACAGTGTTTCTCCAGTACTGGTGACAAATAGGTATTGGTTCACTAAAATGTCTATAACTCAAAAACTTCTTATTTAAATGTCAATTTTCTTTTCATTGCACTTAGAAATGGTTTTTGTATTAATTGTGATATATTTAGCTTAAAAGGTACATTGTGGAATTTTAAAATTGTAGAAAATGTGTGAAATAGTGCACAAAATGGTATCTTTTGATGTAACATGGAACACCTGGCTTAGTTTGAAGTAATATTCTACTAAAGCAAGGATTATTGAACAGACATTTTTGTTGAAATAGGTTAAGAATATAACGTTATTGCATTATCTATTGCTGAAATAGGTTAAGAATATAATGTTATTGCATTATCTATATCTTTTTATTTTATATTTACTTTGGTATTACTTAGATGTTGTCGTAAAAAATGCATCACAGATGCATCACATGGTGTCCCACTAAATTAGAAATTTTAAACCATTATCAATTGTAAACAAAGTAAAGGATTCTGCTCCAAATTGTGTGTTCTGTTACTAAAAGCATCAATGATTAATTTACACAGATCATGTGTGGTGCCCTAATGGTTCAACAAACTAAGGAATAGTGGAGGTAAGGGGAGGTCTAAAAACGAATTAATTCTCAATATTACCAGAAAATGTTCACTTACTCTGGTCTATAGACTTCTCAGGAACATAGGCATAAAACTGTCTTTTAATGCGATGATTTTTTCTATGGCCTTCATCGCCTCCTTGGACTGCTTGTTTGTCAATGAGATCTTTGTTACCTGATTTAGCTTTCTCATCTAAAGAGGAAATTCTCTGATTCCGAGCTTCTTTCTGGTCCTCAATATCAGTAGACTTGTTTTCTTTGTGCAAGCTATCCTTCAGCTCACCGCTGTCATCCACAGATCCATCAAACTTATCACCACTGTCAAATATACTATCTTTAGATATATCTTTAATGGCTGTATCTTTATTGTCAATGGAAGGTAAATGTTTCACTTCCTTTAAAGAGTTTGTTTCACCATCAGACAATGAAGTCCTATGAGGTCTAGGTTGTCGAACAGAGTCCTTCTCCTCTCCAGAATTGTGAGTGGTGATTTTTGTAACTTTGTTATGAAAATCCACATTACCAAAGTTGCTAGATTTCGAATATGTCCTCAGAGAACTCACTTCCCTGAAAGGCTTACTTACATAAGTGTCCATTTTAGAGTTGGCAGCTGGGCTGGATTTTACAGTAGGCTTGTTAGTTGACTGAACATTGCAAGCTTGTTTTACAGGAGTAGTTTCACTTGAGGACAGGTCACTTTCAGCATCCCGAGAGTCCCCCTCACTGTGAGTGGACTTTCTTTTCCTGGTGACCCTTTTCATGGAAGACTCAGCACTGCTATTATCTGCAATATGTGGAGGTTCACCAGGACTAGAAACAAAGTTCACAATGTTACCATGTTTAGTAGATTCTTCACATATAAATGGCTCAGAAGCACTCTCAGCAACAATCGAGACTGCCAAAGCTTCTACAGATGAACTGTCAACATCTTTTTCTTCATCAATATTTTCATTTGGCACTGCCATGTTTTCATCTAATGTTAATGTTACCTTGCTTGGTAAAGGTTTGGGCATTGTGGACAAAGTTGTTCCTAGGGTTGATGCTATTTTTTCCAGTATTGGCTCTTTCACTAGAGGAAGGGAAGGTAGAAGTTTGCTAGATGAGCTCACAGTACCTGCTGCAACTGAAGCTATTGTCTCAGACACACTATCTAAACTGTTGAGACTTTCAGTACGAGTTACAAGGGGTAAAGAGGTTTGCAAAGAGTTATCCTCAGATTCTGTTTTCAGTTTTGATGAGTTCTGAACCAGCTCCTCATCTATTGCTACGGAGCCTCTATTTTTGACTTCATTAGCAGTTAGCACACTATTTCTAAGAATATTGTCAGGTTTCTTACATTCAGACTTATCAGCTTGGCTTAAACCAGATTTGGGTGTGAGGGTTTCAGAATCAACAAGTGAGACTTCTGTTACCTCAGGTTCAGGCGACTTATGCATAGTCTGTGACAACCATTCTGTTGCAGTCTCTGAGGATAGTGTAGGAGCAGATGCCAGTTCATGAGTAAGTAAATCACTTTGCATGTTTTCAAAC